AAATTAAATATTTTTTAAATCGAGTGCTTATCACTGGTCTTTAAAGGTGCTGACCTCTGTGGCCACTGGCTTGCTCAGTGCGTGGACCATGTGACTCAGTCTCTGGGTTGTAAGTTCGAGCCCCATGATGGTTATAGAGACTACTTAAAAATAAAATCTTAAAAAAATAAATAAATAAAAGAAGCTGACTTCTTTCTAAGTTTGTCTAAATAATAGTTGCTTTTCCTTTGGGGAACCTAGATTGGTTTGTTTTCACACAGGTTCATAAGTTCTACTTTTTTCCTATCCCCACGGGGTAAAAAGCCTACATGATAAAATAACTAATATACACACAAAAAAGGTGCTGCACCTGAGGTCAGGTCATTTTATAAAATCACTTACGAACACAAACACGTTGCCCAAATATTGCTACAGAGTTTTTTTAAGTTCTGCAGGAATATAAATGGTCTCTATGCAACAAGGCTTTTGTTCCTAGCCTGCACCCTCAAGAGAAAGTAGAACATCCTTGAAAGCTTCAATGCTATAAAGATAAATACTTAACGTCACCAAAATGATGGGTCAAAGAGTTTTACCAGTAGGATTTATAAGAAAATATAACTGCAGGAGGAAAGAGGACTCAGAAAGTTCTCTAAATACCCTAAATTACTACATTTTAAGAGCTCGGGTGATGTCAGCCAACCCTAAAGAGACAGAAACAACCTGGCTTTGGAAGCAAACTCATCAATAAGCTTCTGCTAGGCCTAAAAAGGCCGTCATGTCCTAAATCCTAGCGGGTCGCCTGGTGCGTGGCTCTCGAGGAGCTACAGGCTGGAAAGGGCGCCCTCGGTCACAGCCAAGGTCGCGGCCCGGCAGCATCGGACTCCGAGGACGCGGAAGGAGTCTCCTGGACCCCGGGCCTGCACTTGGGCCCGGGTTGCCAGTCTAGACCAGCGCCCCGAATCCCTGTCTGGACTGGGCCAGGACAGCCCGAGCACAGCCGCCGGCCCACCGGCCAAGCAGGGGAGCCTCGGCCCAGGCTCCACGTCGGGGAGCGGGCCTCCCGCGCGGCCTCACTCGCGGCCGAGCTCCTGCAGGCGCCCGCCCCCGCCCCGCCCGCCTGGGGTGGAGGGCGCCCAGACCGACGGCCCTAGGCCCAGGCCAAGAGCAGCCTCGCTCGCCGGGGCCGCACGGACCGCCGCCCGCCGCCGCAGCGCGCTCTGGCTCCGCCTCCCGTCTACACTGACCCACGGCGTCTGCCTCGAAGGTTAGGAACCGAGGGCACGGCACCTCTGGCTGGAGCGACGCCGGCCGGCGGCGGCACTTAACCCCGAGCGGGTGGTTGCAAGTGAGTTAAGATGGCGCGGAATGCGAGTGGCGGGAAGGCGGGAGCCAGGATGCAGTGCTCGCCGCACGCTCGCCTTTTTTCTTCCCGTCTCTTTTAGAAAAGACACTGCTGAAAACACACTTTTGGAAAACTGAGGATATCTGCAGGTTGCGGGGAGGATTCCGTCCTCGCCTGACCCCTGCCCTCACGGAGAACAAGCGGCAAATCGAAATCTAACCCGGGACGCGAACTTTGGTTCCCACGGGCCCTCCCAAATCCAAACTCTGATTTCCTTGGAACAGCAGCAGCTCCTCAGACACAGCGACAGTGTCACTTCACTAGACACCAAGACATTGAAAGCGAGCAGAAATGATCATGCTTGAAAGGGACAGGAAAGCACACTGCCTCCGAGAGGAGCGCGGAGCTGCAAATTTACCTCACGCTGACTCAGTCCACACAGCAGATGGTGGAGATGGTGGCAGAGCTGCAAGGGAAACGACCTCCCCAATTTTTAAAAGTACTTCCTAATAGTGGCGTCTTTCGGTACAAGGCACTACGTTCCTGTGAAATCTATCCTCGGCTGCTGAGAGCGTCGTTTCCGCACATGACAGCAGCTCGTTTGCTCGCCGTGCCTGTGGCCCGAAAACGACGGGACGAGCGCGGCCCCCCGCCCCCCGCGCCCTCGGGCCTCAGCGCCCCCCGCGCCCTCTGCACCGCACGTGCGCCTCCTCCCCGGCCGCACCGGGCGGCCAGCTCGCAGGAGCGCAGACCCGGGGGGGGGGGGATTACAAGAAAACACTGCTCAACTTCTCCGGCTACACAGGCACCGTGTTTTGTACTTTTCGTACCCTCGTTCGGGTCGTAGGTGTGGGAAGGGTGAAAGAAACACAAAGGAAAATCAGCCATCGCCTTTCTGTGTGGCAGACAAAACTCCGCGGAACGCCGTCTAGTGGCGAAATTGTCCAGGGACAACAAACCGGGTTTGTTCCCCGCCCCCCGCCGCCCCCCGATTTTTCCTTTTAATTGGAACTTTGAAGCCTCTTTGCATCCCTCAAATTGCAAAGGGGTTTCGGGACAATCTCTACGTAGTGGTACATTTAGTCCCATAACCTGAAACTGACCCAGACTAAGCAAGAATGTTGAACCATTTTCCACCTCTTTCCTGATCTCCTTTCTCTGGAGACAAAAGTACAAAAAAATATCTTCTCCACGAGATAAAGTCAGAGCTCTGCGGACTCCTCGACTAAGACGCAGCGACCCTACCCCACTCCCACCCCCCCAAGCTGGGATATCCACGTTTCTGCATTTGTTCTCAAGGGATGGGAATCTGGCCTGGGCAGGACTGGTACAGGAATTCCACTGTGGAAGAGATGGAATGGTACCCCCCAGATACCTCCCGAAGCAAGTTTTAAGCTCAGTGCTTAAATACCGACCATTCCGAGTTTGTTCCATGAGTCCTTACCCCACTCCAACCCCCCCCCCCCCCCCCCCCCAAACATCCCGCTGAAGAAATACAGGCCATTCTGTGTTTGCAGTTACAGATTCGCCACACATCTCCAAGGCCTCGTATTTAAAGACCGGGATTTTCGACATCTGCCTAAAGCGGTGGTCAACAGCCTATTCTGACACGCATTTCAATTACATCCTACTCTTGCCCAAAGCCTCCCGCCTGTGAAATTTAAAAAAATTCTTAAGTCCTTATTTAAGACCCTCCTTGTCCTGCTTGCATTATTTCCGACTTCAGAGAAAATCAGAGAGCTATGATGAGGAAGTGCCTACATTTTCCTGGGGGGAAAAAAGTGCAACAAAGTGAAACTTGACTCATAGGGAACTAAGTTACTTGTAAATAAGAAGGAAAAAGTAATTACTGGTAGTGCTATAAAACAAATTTAAGTGGGAAATGGGACATGATTCCCATTACACAGACTGCCCCATATTCAAGTGGGGACGGGCTATTCTTCCTTAACCCTTAAAAGTAATCACCTATAATAAAATATTTTCAAACTGTAAACTGCTTTCAAACACCATAGCGTTTTACCAGATTTATTTACTTGTTATACACAGACGATACAAACGAGCAAAAAACAAAACGTTTCTCAATGGAGTGTGTACTTGTATAAATTATTCAGTTCACAGACAAAACGAAACAAATATAAAAATCACAACATTAGATTTACAGAAGAGCCAAAATATACACACGTTTAGACCCTGAATTCCTATTAGGAAAAATCCCCCCATGGACTGGAATCTAGATTGAATATTGTGTATGATGCATATTTCACATTAATTTTAAAATACAAAAAAAAAGTATAGGTTTGCTACACAACATTAGAAATCCTACTAATCTATTTCCAGGGGGATTAATGCTCCTTATCAAATATAACAAGACTTAGAGGGGGGGAAAAACCAGTCTTACTTGCATTAATGCTAGTGTTTTCCCAAGGAAGTCAAATTTCAGCTGTTTCTAGGTGGCAGGGAAATCATTTTCAAAACTAAAATGCAGTAAAATATACAACTCACACAATTTATCTTCACTAGACTACACTATAGTTACCAACAATTCAGTCATCTATATCATTAGTAGAATATTCATTACAAAGATTTACAGCATATAAAGGTGGAGGGGGGACTGAAAAGATATTCAGAAACAGTTTTTCAGCATATTTGGCACCTGCACAGACCAGTAATGGATTTGGCACTTTGGGGAAAAACAAATAAGGCAAAATAATATTGCTGATGTAGAGCTATTCTATTGGGGGGGGGGTGTTGGGGTGGGACATACAACTCCAGTTAACTTTTCTTCGCAGGCATCATGCCACTTAATGGACTTGCCTATGAACAGACACCTATCCTTTACAGGTGTTTGGTTGGATTCTCCTTAGCTATTTGTGTGCATTAGGGCACAGAGTAATTATTTCATGCAACGGATTGAGGAGAAGTGAGAAACCCATCATTATCTATCAAGTATTTCACGTTTCCAGAGCCTCTTAGAATATTGTTAATTATCTCACAAGGCAATTTTTTAAAGTGGAGGGGGGTGGAGAAAATGGCAAAGAAAGGAAAAGAATGGAAAGGTTAAGCGTGAACTGGTTTTGTGCCTTGACGATGAAAATAAAAACTAGCCATTCGGTACAATAAATTAACACTATATACAGTCATTTCACAGGCTTTGTTCCACTAAAATTATTAACATCCCTACCATCCATCCATCCATCCATCCACTCGGGAATAAGAAAGGACGCGCTGGGTGGGTCCAGGTTCTAGAGTCAACATCCTACGGTTTAATGGGGAGGCCGAGACTTGGAGGGTCGGAATCGCTGCTGCCTGACAGGACTGCCCAGGTCTCCTAAAGGTGAAGAGTTTCATTACAAGAAAGAGAAGGAGAGGGTGAGAAAAAGACGAGAGGGAGGAGGCTTGTTAGGAGTATAACTTCACAGAAGGAGAGTAAGGAGGAAAACCAAAAGGTTTACAGCAAAGTTGAAGGTCGGTGTGCTAACTGCAGAAACTGCTGTGCAAAAAAAGGTTAAAATCGCACTCGGAGACCTGTGCTTATTCGTTGCAGACGGTATTCGAGGGCCAAATAACAGGAGGGGGTGCGCGAGGTGGGCCGTGGGGAGGAAGAGCTGGGGAGAGCTGCGAGGGGCTGGCTGGGGGGCCGGGCGGCGGCGGGGCGCGGGGCCGGGCGGGCAGGGCCGGCCTAGCTGTGCGAGTAGAAGCCGTAGTAGCCGCCTATGTCCTTGGCGCAGTTCTTCTCGCAGTCCCGCTGGGCCAGCACCTCGCTCTTGAGCGGCGACGAGCTCTCGGACACTGGCGTGTCGGCGGGTGAGATCCGCCTCCGCTTGGCCTGCTCGTAAATCCCCGAGTCGCTCGAGTCGATGGACTTGATGGAGGAGGGTGTCTCGATCCAGCTGGAGTCGGACAGGTCCTTGGGCTTGGCGTCCTCGGCGGCGCCGGGCGGTAGCGGCGAGCGCTCGGCGGCCAGGCCCTCGGCCTCCTCGCCCAAATAGGGGTTGGCGCCCGCCATGCGCGCGGCGGCCGCGGCGCTGTTGGGCCAGCAGGGCAGCACCGAGCCCGACTTGGCGCCGCAGTACTGCGGGGGGCTGCGCGCGCCCCAGCCCGACGGGTCGGCGTAGTAGCCGAGCGGGCGGCCGGTGCAGCCCGCCGCCTGCAGCGGCAGCGCCTTCACGCCCGCCGCCGCGTAGGAGAGCAGCGTGGCCGCGTTGCCCGCGAAGTCCGTGGCTGTGTCGTAGGCCGAGGCGGCGAAGTCCAGCCGGTTGTTGGCCGGTGTCACAAACCAGCGCTGCGGCGACGGCGCGCCCGGGTCCTCGGCCTGCTGCGGCGACAGCAGCCCGTTGGTGTGGGGCACACTGCGGTCCGTGCCCGGCCCGGGGCCCGCGCCCGCACCCGGGTGGAAGCGGGCCTTGGCGTAGTTGCTCACGAACTGGTCCTGCAGGAAAGAGCCGGCCATAGCGTAACGGGCCCCGGGCACGATCTGCGAGCGCGGGGAATCGTTGGGCGAGGGGGTCAGGCGGTCCATGTCGCAGCCAGTGTAGATCCTGCGAGGGAAGGAGAGAGAGAGAGAACCGAGGGGTGGCAGAGAGGTCCCCTCGGGAGGCAAAGGGAAGGCCACCTCCACTTTTCGCCCACCCCCACACACTCCGTCTGTAACTTGCGGTCCAGGGCGGAGACGGACAAAAGGTCACAAACTTGCGTCCTCCCCAAAATAAAATAAATCGTGAAATTGTAAAGAGATCGGTTTGTCATTCAGGGACCTAGGCAAAACACAGATCAAGAGGAAGGCTTCCCTGTCCCCTCGCTCTCTCTCACCAACTGTACAGGGGATCAGAGAGCGGAGCGCAGCAGGGATTCTCACCCCACTTCCCCAAGGTCTGCATAAACTTTAGGGCAGATTTGCCCAGGGACTAAGGTGTTACTTGCCCAGTGGGCCTTTTCTGTGCGGTGAGTTTCTGAGCAAAATTTCTAAACAAGATACCCATTTCTTCACTCTTTGAAGAACACTTTTTTCCATCTGATACACACGCAGGCTATCCAGGTAGTAATCAAAAAAGACTGGCTTTCACCAGCCTTCTGAGACTTGAGGACTGCTGTTGGAAGACTCCACAGTACTTACTGTCCATTGTTCCCCCCGTGTGATCCTTTAACCCCCACCTCTACCAATAATAAGAATTACTACTTGGAAACAAAGTCATCAATCAATAAAATTCTTTTACAAAGAGGAGGTTTTTTTGTTTTGTTTTGTTTTGTTTTTGTAAAGTAAGCTCCATGCCCAACGAGGGGCTTGACTTGACCACCCCGAGATCAAGAGTGACCCCAAGATCAAGAGTGGCATGCTCTACTGACTGAGCCAGCCAGGTGCTCCAAGAAAAAGGGTTCTCTACTCTTTTTCCAAGCTTTTGAACTGTTACTGGTAAATAATAATAATAATAATAAGTAAAAATTAAAATTAAAAACTAAAAAAAAAGACAAAAAGCAAAACAAAAAAAAAAACGCCACAAACTACCTTTGGGGCAAACTCTTACAGTGATTATCAACCTCCTCCAAGCTAACCCTTATACAACTTGACTATGTGCCAGGCACTGTTGTCTAGGACTGTACAGATAGTAATTTAGTTAACCATCACAACAATCCTCCCAGTTATGTAGCATTATTAGCCCACCTTACAGATGAGAAAACTGAGGCAAGGGGAAGTTAAATAACTTGCCCACAGACAGTAATTGTGTTACTGGGAATCACCTTAGGTGAAATAATGATTAACTCTAGGCCCCGGGCCTAGAAAATCCCATTAGAATTGAGAGAGAACCAGAGATTGGATCAAGATTGGTAGAAGTGTTTTCTTCTACACATAGACACATGCCCCCCTTTTTATTTAGCTCACACATAAATGTTTTAATCTTTAATCAACACAATGTTTTGAGAGAGAGCCTCAGTCTTGTCACACCTTAATCCTTTGGGGAGGAGATTCCCTGGGGAATGGTCAAGCAACCTTCTCGTCCCCCTGAACTCTTACTGCTCACCCTGTTTCTCCAAAAGTGAGCCATGCCCAAAATATCAACATAAAAGGGGATAGGGTGGGTGGCATAAACCATTTGCTCTCCCCTGTCCCCTAATAACTAAGATCTCCATTTGTATAGATAAAGAAGCTTTTATGGAAAATACACAGTTTAAGAATCAAAAAGAAGTGGCTTTTCCTACAGAAGTCAGCCAGAGGAGGGCGGGTGAAGGTGATGCTGCTGCCCAGGTCCATTCTGCTTACCACACAAAATTTCCCTCCTGAAATTTAATTACAGTTTCAAATAAGTAGAGGGAGGCAGGAAGGGAACATAACCAGCAAGGTGCAAAAACCTTCTCTGTTTGCCACCACAATAGTTTAAAAAGAAAAAAAGCAGCCTGCAAAAGATACAGTTTAGATGTCCATCCAGGTCCCAATCCACTTGGGATTACTGAATTGATTTGTGCAAAATAAAATGCTTTGGAACAGATGTTCGCAACAGAATTAAAAGCTCAAAACCTACAAGACCCCCTAGTACAGAGACCAGTATCTCTGGTCTCCTGGGCCACACACTTTCCACAGTGCCGGGTCCACATTTTTAGATTGTGAGGACTAGAAAAGCTGAGTTTTTATTCTGGGTATCATCTTGATGAGCCTTGCTTCCTCAAAACTACTTTTAAGGGAGGCACATGACAGTTATGGGCGGAAATATCAATGACTCTCTTTTCAATTTGTTATAAAAAATATCAGGAGGAAACTTTGTTATCTACCTGGAGATGGAATAGAAGCAGCCACTTGTCTACTTCTCCATAAAATTAATCTATTTCTGGTCAAAGACAACTTCAACTTTGTAGCTCTATCCCAGGCACTTAATGCAAGGCATGAAATTAAAATTTATGTAGCCTTCCCTTTTATGGTCAGAATAAAAGGGGGGGATCCTGACAATCCAGATTTAGATTTTGCTATATAACACTATCTGAACTCTTGGGCACTATATCTGAACTCTGAGCAAGAATGCTAGAACAAGCCCAGAAAGCACTAAGTTTATATCTCTGTTGCCCCCAGAGAACATCATTTTGATAGAAAAGACACGGAGGTAAGTAAGGGAGGCCCGGGGAAAAGGGTACCAACACATTTAATTAAAACACGCCTAGATGCAAAAGATAAAAGGAAATATTTTTCTTTTGAAGCTTATAAATAATACATAGCAACAACACCTGGGTCCTTCCCAAAGCCTGAAATAACTGTAACAGCAGCTCTGCTCATGACCTTGCCTATGGTGGGTGCACATTTTTATTCGGTCCATAGTAAACTTGCACAGGAAAAGCTATTACACAAAACTTGGAAATGGGTAAATAAAAGTCACATATGCCAAGGAGAATGTAACAACTGCCAGAGCCACATGCACTTTCCGGCAGAATCGGGCGGTTTCAGACACAGACAATCTGAGCTGAGCATCTGCAGCGCCACATACCACTCCCGCACCCAGGAACCAGGACAGCTTCCCCAGCCAGCCAGCCCCAGAGGCCCGCCAACAACTTTGTAATTCATAAGGAAGATAAAAATAAGTGGAGGAAATCTTTGACCAAAACCACAAAAGCACCAAGCCAGAAAGTCACCAGAAAGAAGGGGAGCCCATAAAAAGGCAAGGGAAAACCTTGGAAACAGCCTTGTCTTCACACATTCGAGCTTCCAAAAGCCTTGTACACAACAATCCACCTTTGACCCAAAGCCCAATTCCACAACTATTTGAGAAGGAAGGTGCAAAATTACTTACGTGTCATAATTATCCCGAAATCCTTTTGCAAAGGGGTTGTGATCTATTTTCAATTGTGTTATCTAGAAAAGACAAAAAAAAAAAGATTAATATGGTCTCACCTTCTAGGTAGGTGGATTAGGTGTTTACGAATGTAACACCACTTTTTACAGGGGCCTATGGCCCACAATTTCATTAAGTAGCAAGGTTTCCCTACCTGAAAAATTTGAGGGAATGAATAGAAAGGGAAAAAAGAGAAAGTATCATGAAAGTTATGAGAAACATGTTTAAATTAATGATGCCTAACACTAAAGGATTGCTTTCAATTAGCTCTCCCACGTGTTCTAAGTCAGTTAAAATGCACACTTTAAAAATGCTTGTTACAAAAAGGCAGAAATCTTTAAGGGGCACTTGAATTCATCACCAAATGTTGCCTATTTTAAGTGTTTCACCACATTTTTAAAAGTTGGTCACTTCTGATTCACAACCTCAAGAACCCATAACTGCATCTTAAAATCAGCTCTAATTTAAAATAAATGCATATTTTCATTTTTGATTCTTTCATTTAAGTTTTTCTTTAAAAATCCACCGTCACTCCTAGTAGTCAAATCAACAGAAGTAAAATAAGTTTTGGCGAACTTGCAAATGCTGAAGAGGTTCAAGTGCTAAAAAAAAGTCGCTCCACAGCTTCCAGTAATTTTATTTATTGTACTTTTTAGATATGTGAATGTGTCTGTTCTTTTGATCACTCAAAAAGTGATGTTTGTTTATTTCAGCCATCAGTTCTGAGACTTTAATTAATTAATTAATTAATTTATTTATTTATTTATTTATTTATTTATAGATAATGCCAAAGCTTGCCAATAATAAAATGCAGGGGGAAATCTGCTTGTTTTCTAAATGGAAGAAGGACTCAAAAAAAAAGAGAGAGAGAGAGAGAGAGAGAGAGAGAGGGAGAGGGATAAAGCAGATTTAAATCTGTTCTAGTTTGAGAACTAAATTAAAATTCCCAAAAAAGGCCCTAGAAATCCTGGGCCCCTCAAAGGTGGCCCGTGTGACCCGCGATGGAGACGAATAGGAAGCGTTTCCCCACCGGCAAGGTATTCAGTGAAGATGCCCAGCAGGCCCCTAGCCCTCCGCCCTTTTGGCGCAGCAGAGCCAGCTGTTGCTGATGTTAGTGCCCGAGCCGGGGATGGCGGGGGCTGCGGGCAGGTGCGGGGAGAAGCCGGAGCCGCCCGCCGCGCGCCCAGCCCCCAGGCCTCCTTACATCGGTGTTCTGGTAGGCGGTGACGGCGATGAACTGAGTCTCGGGGAAAGTGAATGTCTGCACGCGGCCAGGCTGGCTGGTGTCCTCCGTGCCGTCCTCGTTCACTTCCACCACATGCAGGCGGGGCTGGTACTTGTGCAAGGATTGTAAAACCACCATCTGTCCGGCGGAGAGAAAGGGGAGCGCGGAGCTGCGCGTTAGCGCGGTCAGTGTGCGCTGGGCTGGGGCCGCGGGCCGTGCCGGGGCTGGCTGGAGCCCGCCGCCCCGGCTAACTGACCGTGGGACTCGCCGGGCAGGTGACTGGCTAGCTGGGTCAAGACCAGCCCTGGTTCCTCCAGGAGCAAAGATCACCGGAGCACCGGAGGAAAACCGAACCCGACTGCCTGGTCGTCAGGGCCTCCCGATCCGCCTAGCCCTCCTTTCAGGAGGAACAAAGATTTTTACAACCCCAGATCCTCTGGGTTTCCTTTTCGAAATCAATCAATCATTTGTACAGTACTTGGGAAGGTCGGGAACTCGGGAATTGGGCGGAGGGCAAGAACAACTTTATAGGAGTGTGGAAATAGAATTTTTAAAACGTCTTTTTAATGTAGCAAAGAAACATATGTCCAGTTTCTCATGCTGATTTAAACTAACGGACTGGATGTTAGCGAGAGACGTACGTGTGTGTGTGAGAAAGAGAGAGAGAGAGAAAGAGGAGAGAGTTGAGTGGGGGGAAGGAGCACTTGAGCCACTGACCTGCCCATTGTTGTTTGAAGCTCCTTTGTTGTTTGTAAGTTTTAATTTTCCAAAAGAGATTTCTTGGCGCATCCAGTGAGCCCCCGTGTTGGGGGAATCCGGATGCATATAGACCCGATTTCCTAGAGAAAGAAATACGTTGTTTACATATGCCCCGGGCACTGCCCAGTCCCAACTCCTCACCGCGTAGGACACACACACACACACACACACACACACACCTTATTCCACAGTGAGGCCCATTAGCTGGGGGTTTTTTAGGCCTCGCTTTCTTCCTATTAACTGGAGATGATTAAAATAGCTTTTGCATAATCCTCCCCCTTCTCGCTGCTCAGTCTGTCCCCCTATCCCCCTCGTTTCCTTTTAGAAGTCATTGGCCGATCGTTTTAAAAGTCTCTCGAGCCAGTCCACAAAGGCTTTAATTAATCATTCTCACCTAAATAAGTGTCAGGAAAATGTGTTAATTGGAAGGACTTGCCTTGCACATTGGTGTCCGCTTTGCCGCAAGGAACCCATTTGCCTCCTTGAAACCTCCAGTGATTGGGATCCGCCAAAATCACATCCACAAAAATATTGTAATGAGCCGTGGGATCGAGACCAGAAATGTTAAAACTTAAAAAAGGAAACATGCGCCTATTTAAATTAAAGGGGGGGGGGAGAGAGAAAACAAGAGAAAAAAAAAACACATAAATGTTAAAGATTAAATGCAAGAAGCGCGGCGCCAGATAGCAAAGCAAAACTTGTTCTTCCAGCGTGGATGAGCGAATGTTTGCTGGGTTAGAGAAGGGGTGGTGGGGGAGGAAAAGAAGTGAAGCTGAAGTCGGGGAGATCGGCGGGTGAGCTGTGGAGTGAGGAGTCGGCAGGTGTCACTGCCCAGGTGGAGAGTGAGGTTGGCGACCCGCACCTCCACCTGCCCTTGGTTCCGGGAGTTGATGCGTCCCTACAATTTCCCAGCCGCAGGCCGGGACTCTCCCTCTCTTTCGCCTTTCTCCGGCCCCTGACTGGTTCTCTGACCACCTTTCTAGAGCGGAAGCCCCCTTACCAACATCACCGCGGCGGTTATACCTTCCACTTTCCCTTTTTCCAAAACCAGCCAACTCCAGGGCGCACCAGAGCGCCTTCCACTCCGCTCCCGACCCCAAAACATCGCTACCGGGGTTAGTCGCAACCCAGCGCTCTTGCCCCCGGGCCGTGCCTGGAGCAGCGACTGCCAAGAATGTAGCATTACCTTCCCTGTTTGGTGATGATCATCTCCGTTTGGTGGCGGTGAAATTTCAGCCAGAGGGGCCTGTTGCACAGGTACACCTGCGCTTTGCCGGGTACCAGTCCGGGCTGCGTGGAAGAGAACTGGTAGAACGGGGCTCCTTGGTAGGAGTGGCTGTACTGCTGTGGGTAGGGGTAGCCGGCCGCGGGGTAGCCCTGCGGTGAGGAGTTGGACAGGAGGCTGTTGTAGGCTCCGTTGGTGATGACCGGGTGGTGGGCCATGTAGCGGCTGGGACTGCCGATGGAGAAGGCGGGGTGCGCCGGTCCGTGCTGGCCGGGGTACGGGAACATGGCACTGGGAGCAGTGGCCGCAGACTGTGGCTGGCTGGACTGAGAGAGGAGGTAGCGATCTGCAGCAGAGCCATCGAAACTGTGACGAAGCTCAGAGACCCCGTCCAAGACAGGAGAGAGTTTACTTCTCTGGACGTCCCCTGGTGAGTCCTTGGAGTCAGGAAAATTGTCTGTATCTGACTGATTCGTCATCCCCCTGGTAATTTTTTTCAAAGGTGAACTTCTCTCCAGGTTGTCAGTGGTCGAGATAATGGGATGATCGTGCAAGACAAGCTCAGATCCGCCTGAATGTGGGTAGCTGCTGCTCACATTGAGAAATTTCTTGGAGAGCATGATAGAAGGAGAAAGGCAGTGCTCCAGCTGCATAGCTCTAGAACCTGAACACTCGCCCTCCTGTCCCTGGTTTTTAAAGTCCTATTTATCATAAACTAGAAATCCACAGACCCCCTCACTAGACAGAAAGCACTTCAACCAGCAAATGCTTCTCAAAGGTTTGATTTACTTTTTTTTTTCCCTGGGAGAAGAGATTGGCCAATTGACACTATGCAGCAATCAGAAAAGGCTCACTTTTGATCTTGCTGCTTGTGCAGCCGATGAAACGGCTCCTGCCATTGGTTAACTGCTGACAGTAATTTAATTAGATAGACATTAATTAGGATAATCACCTGGCTCCTGGTCGCGACGATCATGGCAAATTGAAGGGGATGATTTTATTGTTGGCTTGGGGGTGGGGAATATGTGTTGGCTTTACGTGAGCACTGTTGTGTCACCTTTAAGCTTTGTGACCACTGCTTTAGGAAGATTCAAAGATGTGCAATTTACTAAACATTTCCCTACCTTCCCCCCACCTCCCTCCTCTCCAGCCGAGGGGCGGAGGAGGGAATTCGATGATGCTAGGAGACTTTTCGGATCTGAATGAGCCAAATATTCAGTTGAATGTAACGATTTCAAGTGCAAAGTATACAAAGCGCGAGCCGGTGGCCTCTTCTCGCCCTGTAAAAGTTCCAGAGTCTGTCTTTTCCAGTTAATACAGAAGCACATAACACCTGAGCCAGTCCTTTGTGAGCAGGTCCTGCGTGTCCTCGGCGAACCGCCCCCCCCCCACCACGCACACCTTTTTAACTACATACATAAATAAATAAATCACTGCTGCTGAGAGCCACAGCGATGAAAGTGAGCGGGAGGGGGGAGAAGTGGGGGCGAAAAGCTGCAACTCACCCACCCATCCACCCACCTCGGGAAGGTTCGGTTTCTTGCTTGAGCACAGAAACAGTGACAATCCATGATCACCTTTTTAAGTTTTGAAATAATCATAAGCTGTCGGGCTTAAGTGCTTTAATGTATTTGCAGTGATGTTTACGAGGTCTTTACTAAATATTTTATCAGCGAGCTTGGTTGCAGATTATCTGAAGAGCATCTAACTGGGGGCAGGCGCCATGCATGCCGCGCGTCCCACTGCACTTCCTTCTCTCTGAGGTACTGGCTTGGCGACAAGGTTCAAAAGCCTCGCCAGGAAAAGAAAGGGCCGAGTCCTCGTGCAAATGGGTTCGCTTGGAAGCGCTGATCTGGGGAGACAGAGTGGAAGTGGTGTCAACGCAGTGATCGATACCGAAGACGTGTGTGTGTGTGTGTGTGTGTGCGTGTGTGTGTGTGTGTGTGTGTGTGTGTAACGTTTATATAATCTGGAGAGGAGGGAAAAAAAACCCCATGCCAGTAAGTTTTAAATGAGGAAGAATCTACGGAGGAATAAAGAAAATAACCAATTTAAAAGGATGTTGGCACAAATAAATAGCACGAGGCCCAAAGCGACCCTGAGATGTTGGAAGAAATCTCCCAGTACTGGCTCTAGAGAGGAACCCAGCCCTGCGCCTGGACCAGAGGGCCGAGAGCACAGAGGCTTTATCCGCCCCAAGTTGCTTCCGGCGGCGGCACCCGCCAATCTGCCCTCCTGCGGCTTTCCCCGGGACGCCGAGCCGCGCGGGAAGGAGGAGGAGGAGCGCGGCGGGAGCTCAGTTGGGCCCCGCAGGCTGGCCGACAGGCGGGCGGGCTCCGCGCCGAGCACTGCTAGGGCTGGCAGCCGAGCGGCCCTCCCGGCGCCCGGCCATCCGCCCGGCTCTGGTCCATTGTCTAACGTCCCCGAGCGGCCTGAGCGTAGGCTGTCCAGCTCCCCGGCAGTCCCGAGAGGCAGCCGCCGCCCGGGAGGCTCAGGGAGCTTGGGGAGAGCCGCGCTGGCGCAGACGCCGGGGGCACACACTCTTCCAGTGGCAGAGGCACGGCCCGGGAACCTCCGCCCGGTGCAGCCGAAGCCTTCGAGAGGGCGCGTCAGCCCTCCTCGGGCCTCGGCACCTCCCTGACGGAGAGCGGCGCTGGGGACATTGGGTGGGTCCTGGACTTGGGCAGAGAGGGGTTAACCAGACTCGACTTCCGCCTAGGCGGACGCCTTTTTAAAGAGCGCTGCCTCAGTGGGCCGAACGGTCAGCGCGGAGCCCAGCCTGAGATCTCGAGGCGGGCTGGGCGCCTTGGCTGCAGAGGGCACCAGCTGTGCCTCCAGCAGGGTGCCGCGAGCCAGGCCCAGCGCGGACGGCCCTGGGAGGGACAAGTGGGTGACCAGATGTCCGACTGAAACCGAGACAGTTTTCTGAGAGAAAAATACAGCCAGGTCCATTTTTCTTTTCGGAAGCAAAGCTCAGCTCCTGGCCATGAAGCTTCATCAACAAGCAGGGCCTTGGCTGTTGAGGCTTCGGGGTGCGGGGGAGGGGACAGTAGCTATGACACTATTTGACACTTGGTATTTCTGCCCTTTACCTTCCACCACCATTTCTCCTGAGAGGTTTTTGCCCAATTTTGGCTAGACTTGTTTTCTCCTTTCTTCGATCATTAACTTCTTTGTCTCTGAGGGCCTCTCTGTCCCCTGCTTCCAAGGTTACCCTCCGCCCCTTTCTCAGTGGGCCAAGAGCCTTAAGTAGGCAGCCGAAAAGGCAAGACTGCACCTGGGCTCTGGAGGCTTTCTCATTCATGGCATCCTGAATTAACTTTTTAAAGAATGAAGAATGCAAAAATGAAATGTTAAAGTATAGAAGAGGAATAGAGTGAACCTTCCTCAGTTTTTAAGGAATTGGAATAGGAGATAAATGTGCAAGTCTGACTTAAGATTATCAGTACTAAATTCAGTGATTCCTCATTACAGGCTATATCTTGAACTTACATATGCTCAAAAGGGAAAACTCACTTTCCTCAAGATCAGCACACCTGCTCTTGAGCCATACTTGCGTGCAGCAGGGATTCTCAGACTTTAAAGTGCATATGAGCCTTGCCAGGATTCTTGATTCAGGTCTGAAGTGGGGGCCTGGATTCTCTATCTATAATGAGCTCCCAGAAGAGCCAGGTGCTCCTGGTCCAGGCAGATCACACTGTATAGTGAGGTTGGAGCTTCCAATGGCCCCATGTTAGTCAAAGAGGAAAGCAGGGACATCTCTATACTAGAGGCAAGCAGGAGTTTTGGTTCTTGTGCTGCTTTAACGCTGCATAATAGATGGGTAAAGATGCCCACATAAGCACATACACACCTTACTGAGCTTGTGATTAAATAAGTCATTTCAATGCCTAACTGGACCCGAGCCACCAGGCTGCTGCTAAAATAGCTGTACATTCCAGGACAAAAGTGTTCATTGACACTCAGAGCATCCTAATTTTGATCCATTCCAAATCTCGAAAGAAAATGCAGGTTTTTGCTAGGAGGGATCCTGGTAAGGTTTTGAAATTGGGAGTGTTTCCAACATGAACCAAGCAGGAGAAAGTGGTACTGGTTGTGGGGAGTCCACGACAATGAGGTGATCAAATAAGAGCAAAAGGCAGGCATTGTGTAAGCCTTCTCAGATGTTTTCAGGAGACTAAAATGAAAAACAAAAAAAAAGTATTTCAAATGGAATGTTGAGAATAGCCTCTGGATTATTGAGGCCTTCTTCTAAGGGCATACTGTATGAAAAAAATCTTGACTAGCTCCAATGATTATCTGTGAAATAAATCATCGAACCTTATTTATGTAAAGGGAAAGATCATGTATTCAAAAAGTCTGCACACAAGATTAAATTAGGCAAAAGGAAAACTTCTGCTAACTTCCACTTGTATTTTAATTGTAAATGGTTAGCTGTTGTAATCTCAACAATTAATACATATTACATGTCCTACATAAAATATACTATGACTATATATAAGAGAAAAAGCCACAGGACAAGCAAATGCTCAGAATACCCCTTATTCTACCAAAAAAGAGACTGTGAAACAAAGTGGGAATTTAAGCCATTTCTACTTTTAGTTTCTGGTAATTGTTCATTAGGCAACCAGTAAGAGACTAGAATTGTTCAAATAGGACAGTAATTTGGTCTACCACACATTCCTACCACCTCTAGTAGGGGTTAAGTCTAAATTCCAAGTCCCCAAGTAAAACCCTCTTTTAATGAAGCCTTAGAAACAAACATTTTACCATATTTTCACAAAGGATACAGACAAGAATTAAATCTGTCTCCATATGTTTTCCCATACTCCTTGGTATACCCAGAATGGTGCTGTGCCATGAGTATTAATGGGGGCAGTTATTTATGTATATCAGGTTAGAAACAGGTTGAGGGATAAGGTCATCTATAAAACCTGCTATTAGTCAAATTTGTGTCTTTATCAGAAAACTGAGTACTTTTAAGTTAATTTGGGAAGATGAGAGAAAACAGTAACAAAATTATTTCTTATGTGCTCATGATACTAAATTCACATTATGGTGCCTTTTCTTAATTTGCTTTGAAGAGATTATATACCTTCTATGGCTGTCTTAGCTAAAAGTTTAGTGGAGTTTGAAGCAGACAGCTTCCAGGTAATCTCAACATTGGTAGAATGTATTCTTTAAAAAAAAAATAAAGTCTAAATTAACATTGTTCCCTTTTTCTTCTTAAATGTACTCCTCTGAAACCCTGGAAAGTATAATATGTTAAGATACTGACTATACAATATTAATTTGTGACAGATACTTTTAATAAAATATGTCAACATTTTTTTCTGGGTTACTCACTAATGGGGTAGCAACTCCTTAATGGTGATCATTTTATATTTGTGAAGTTTTGTTATCACACTGATGTTTTATGTGTTATAAGATCTTAAATTGCAAAGAGAAACATATCTTTGTGTGAGATTTTGAGAGCACTGTCAAATGTTACTCTCTCAATTCCACCCAGTGCCAAAAAACCTCAGGAGACATAGATTGTAAATGTATTTTATTTTGTAAGCAACAATCAAAATATATTTGTGTTACTGATTTCTTCAAATATTAAATGGGATCTTAACAAAATTTGTCCACTTTGATGTATTCTTATACAACTTTGGAATCTGCAAAGACCCTGACTAAAGAAACAGAAGTAATTGCACAACCGAGACTGAAGGTGTTACAGTACTGCAAATGATGCCAGATGTCTTACATTTAACCAAACACACCTTCAGAGGTCCCTTGATTTTGAGCATTAGGAAC